TTTCTTTAGAGGCACTTTTTTGATTTTAACGCTATTTCAATGGAGCAATCCAGTTTTGTTGACATCAATGCTTTATTCTCTTTTCTTGTGTTACTAAGATACTTTTAGTTACACTTTAATGGATGCAAACCTTTTTAACCGGGTAAAATATTCATTAATTTGTAAGGAATTCGTTTTCTTTATGTTTGTGATTTTAACACTGTTTCGATGAAACACAGCAGTCTTGATAACTTGACATGACTAACATTACTTTTCTAAAATATATGTTTTTTAGAAGCGTTACTTTGATTTCAAGGCTGTGATGGCGAGAGTTTAAGAGTCAATGGCATCAAGATGGTGCTCAAGAAGGACATTGTCACCACCAATGGTGTCATCCACCTTATTGATCAAGTGCTCATGCCAGACTCAGGTTAGACTTGCACATTTTCCCCTTATTAATGATTACCCGATTTACTACATTAATACATATATTGTTTTTCTGTAATCCATATTTTTAATGGTGTTTAAATTCCCTTTGTGCCTCAAGCTAAACAGGTGATGGAACTGGTTGGAAGTTCCCAGTCAACCTTTGGAGACATGGTGTCTGAGCTAGGCCTTTCTGCTTCCATGCAATCTGCTGCTGAGTACACTTTGCTTGCCCCCCTCAACACTGTCTTCAATGGTGAGTAACATACTGGTGATTCAATAAAGCACGCCCCTATTTAGTTGGTGGCTGAAGACAAAGCCTGGGTCCATTCTCTAGACTCTATTCTAGTCACATTCTGGAATAATTGGTGATATTTAGATTTGTTTTGTATTTACCCCTCATGTGCTGAGTCATTTGTCAATATGTGTAAATGTATGGAGCTTTAGGGAAACTATACATTTATTGGCACACTGCAGAAGCTTTATGCCATGTAACAGTAAGTGTCCACTCCCCCCGAGAACATTCCTGGACTTCACCCAAAGGGAGTAGAGATGATTTGTTTTTGCATTAAGAACGACAGAGAAAATGTCTCTTTTAAATGGTTTTAAATGGGTCCCAAAAAGTTTCCCAATGACCCGGAATAGTACTGCCAGAACGAACGATATCCAAAATGTCTAACTACTAATTATTGTCGTCTTTCTTGAAACTGACGTGCTGTCCGTTTTACAAAACAAGTTATGTTTTCTGCTTCTTCATCCTCTGAATTTTCCTCCCCCGTCCCTCTTCCTTCACCCCTCACAACAACAAATCAAGGTGGATCTGTGAAATGAAACACCTCTTCCCAAAGCGTGACTTCCCTATTGAGGGCAGTAGGGTCTAAATCGATTGACCAGATATACTAACATGCAGAACGTACGGTATGTTTGAAAAAAGACTAACCATTTATCCAGTTCAAGCTGTCTTTAAGATGTGACATCGCGCACTGACTATTTCCCGTAAAATCGTGACAAACTATTACTTATTCTTAAATTTGATCTCTTGCTGCATGGTTGAAAATGATAGATGAAAAATAACTTTTTTTAAAAGAGTCAAGTTTTTCAAGATCAGATACAGGTCAAGAAAATGCATAGAGGAGGTATGGTGCTGGCTCATTAGCCCTCTCACTCTTCTTAGAATGATCCTGTGCAGTTATAGTTAATAAAAGAAATTACACATTAGTTCACAAATCCATATACTAAAAGAGAATACCCTTAGGTATCACTATTAAACACACCATTTGACTGTAGAGGATGTCGGGGGTTTTATGATTTCCCTCACACTTGTCCTGACTTGTCTTCAGACATGTCCAGACTGTTCACAAAACTTTTCACGGAACTCTTTAGAGCAAGGAGGGGTTAGAAAGATTGACATTACTTTTTTTAAATATATGGTTGCTATATTTCATGTTATTTGCAAGTATTTGTAAGTTACAGTCAATACTGTATACGGGATTAGGGGCACAGGAAGTGGTTAGGTGGCGGGACATTGATCCTATGCATACTAATGTGATTCATTTTTTAATTATTTTTGTAAAACCGGTAGGGGCAGCATTTTTATTTTTCTCATTTTTAAATTATTTTAATATTTTATTTTGAAAACCGGAAGTGGGGGCGACCGGTAGGGGCAGCATTTTAATTTTTCTCATTTTTAAATTATTTTTATATTTTATTTTGAAAACCGGAAGTGGGGGCGGGACATCCGCTGGAGGGGGCGGGGTTTAGAAGCACCACCTGTCACTTTCTATGCATACTAATGAGATGAAAGTGGTATGTGTATTATGCCATGGCCATGTATACTCATGGCCATCTACTGATCATAATTCCATTGTTGAGTTATACTAAAATAGATTTATATTGTTCAATTTTCCAAAATCACATTGGTTTCTCAAACAGCATCTCTGTCTAGTATGAGTATTCACTCTCTGTCCTAAACGGCTTGTTGGAGCTCCTGCCCCCCCCTCCCTATGAGCCCAGTGGCCATCTGTGAGACAGCGAGACACAGCGAGACACAGCGAAACCCAGCCCACACACACACACACACACACACACACACACACACACACACACACACACACACACACACACACACACACACACACACACACACACACACACACACACACACACACACACACACACACACACACACACACACACACACACACACACACACACACACACACACACACACACACACACACACACACACACACACACACACACCCCTGCAGTCTGCAAATTGATTGAGTCTGTGTGTGTGAGGGATGTCCTTAACCTAACTGCTCTGTGGACGTAACGTAACAGCTTTGTGGACGTAGCATAACGGCTCCACAGATTGGTCCATTTGGGTATGGGCACATCACCATACCCAGGATGAAAACAATGGCTGATAAGAAATCGCCAACGAGGCGTTCTGGGACATAGACAGGTATTTTCTGTGTTAGAGTTTTACTCGCTACAGGGTGTACTTTGAGGGTTTGTGACTTTGCAGACCGTTTACATGCAGAAAAACCTTCATAACACACAAGGGGACGGGTAATAACCAGAAGAGCATGACATGGGACCTTTAAAGCAATAGTTCAACATTACAGATATATGCTTATTTGCTTTCTTGCCGAGACTTAGACTAGAATGACGATACCGCTCCACGATGTGTCCAATCAGAATGGAGCTATGGTCAGGAGTCATTTAGCTTAGCTGTCCTCATGTAATTTCTTAATTGTGTCCTCCAGGCAAAGCGAGTTGAGTATCCCTGATCTACCCTAAGATGGATAGCCTAGCTTTGCATTAAGGCTGGATTCAATTGAAAAACGGCTAGCCTGACACTTAAATATACACCTGCTAGCATCTTTAAAGCTCACTTACTTCACTTAAGTTGTAGTGCTATTCTTGTATGCTGTTACAACAACCAATGTTCTTCTCCCAGCCGACATATGTGCAGCACCTTCTCCATTTTCTTGACAATCCCCGAATGATTACTTCAATTGAGCTTGAAACTATCAGATTAGCTTTGTTCTGCCTGTTTCCAATCTCGAGCTCCGCTCTCACACAGACAAGGAGGTGATATTGATCTTCTCACCTGAGATTGCATATCGACAATACATAACATATTACACAAGATGTTGAACTATTGCTTCAATGCTGGTAGCTTTTGCAGGCAGGAGGAGCTCCATCTAAAATGTTAACATATTTGGCTAATATACGTCTCAAGATTTTGATACATCACTGAGCCAGAATGAAAGTTAGGAAGAGGATATCAAGCTAAGGGTCGGGTGGGGGTGGGGTGTCTAGAAAAAGTGGTGGAGTTCAAACAGATGGAGATGTTTGATAATACACAGAGGGAACATTGGAGGAGGATAAAAGTGGGGTTAAAGAAGAGATGAGAAGCAATAAAGTGAAATGTTCAATACATCGATACTCAAATCTATACCTGAGAAAGAAGGGAGTTCCCTCAAGTCCATCAGACTCAATAAACAGTCCGTCAAAGTGAAAGCTAATCCCTTCTGCATTAAAATCTTTAGCGTCATATCTCAGGGGATTAATCTTAAAATCCACTCATGAGTATTTACAGCCGCATACTGCACACACATGAAATACTTCTATACAATCTGGTCTGGATTTGCCCTCCCACTGAGCACTCATGCATATCTGCTAAAAATTAGTTGTGACATGTGTGACGGAGGCGGAGAAGACGGGGGGTTTGGGAGGCTGAGTGGAAAACATCTTCATCGCCTACAAAAGCAGAAGGAAACATGGCTTAGGACTTTAAAGATGTATGTAATGATGCTGTTAAATCTCAGTTCATTAATAGTTTCCCCTTTAATAATTTGTTTCTGATCTGAGCAGAAAAATCTTCACACTCCATGATAATAGACACACTCTCAAATAAATAAGGTAAACACGTTACTATACGTGCTGATGATGAAGAAAGATTGAATTCAGCTCTCCTCATTTGTCCATTAAGCCCAGGAGCATCTTCAAAGACCCGAGTTAAAAGGGGACATGAGGTATGACTGTAGCTCTTTTCACGACACAGACACAGGTCGGTTCTTTAAAACGGGCGTTTATTTCTTGGGAGTTTTCATCCTGTAGCCTTCCCTCTTCCGTTACGCCGTGAGAACTACAACACCGAAATGACACGCATACATAGCCAAACACATTAGCATATTGTGCTACACATATGAATGAAAACAAGAAAATGAAAACACAAAACAAATACCTCGTTGGCCGCTTGTCGTGAAAGGAGATTAATTTAGTTCCTTTTCTGCATAACTTCGTCACAGACCTCCCGTCACACTAAACTTTATCACAGACCTCAGCAGAGCTTCAAAAAGACGTCAACCCACATGGAGTTGTACAGTGTAACAGCAAAACACGCAGTACCAGCACATGAACAAACATTAGTTCCTAGGCACAAGAAACACATACGCATATCGGCCCAAGATGTAAAACAAACTGTATTAAATCATGCCATATTTAACGATTATAAATAACATGAAATAAAGTATTCATTTATCCAATTGAACTATGACATTAACCGTGTTACTCCTTTAATTAAGGCAACTTCGTTACGTCATTTACACTCCCACCAAATCACTCATTAACTCAAATGTGGGATTTCGTTCAAACAAAATGCAAAGAAACAGTCAAGTGTTTTCAGTGTGTATGACTATACTCTCATGTATGGGACTTAAGTGGCCTGAAGTAAAGTGACTACCTTATGAATAGGTCTTTCGAGGTAGACTAGTCTAGTGTGTGGTTTTCCTTTATCAAGTGTAGTGTTACTGACTAGTAACTTTAGCTTTCGCACCAAGCCGTCTGTTCCAGGGTGAGTTTCTACAACTCTGGCGAGCTTCCACTCATTTCTTGGTAGGTTGTCGTCTCGCAGAATGACAATGTCATCTACTTGTGAATTTTGTGATGCCTTTGGCCATTTCTGCCGCTGTTGGAGGTTTAGCAGGTATTCTCGTTTCCATCTTCGCCAGAACTCATTGGCTAAGAACTGCACTCTTCTCCATCTCTTGCGCAGATAGAGGTCTTCTTTACAGAACTCTCCAGGAGGGGGCAGAATAACTGATGACTTCATGGTTATTATGTGGTTGGGAGTGAGAGGCTCTGGACCAGTAAGATCGTGGAGGTGTTCAACACTTAACGGCCTGCTGTTAATTATTGCCATTGTTTCGTAAAGGAATGTTCTCAGAGTTGTGGTGTCTAGTCTGCTTGCAGACTTGTCTAACATGACTGTCAGAATGCTTCGAATCGTTCTGATTTGGCGTTCCCAGACTCCTCCCATATGGCTTGCTGAAGGAACATTCATTACAAATTCGCAACCAATTGCTCGTTGACGTTCCTGATCCATTCCTTTGAGCAACTCAGAAAACTCCCTCTTGGCACCAATGAAGTTTGTTCCTTGGTCGCATCGTAATTGGCGCACAGGTCCTCTGATTGCTACCATTGTTCGAAGTGCATTCATGAAGGCATCTGTCGTCAAATCGTCTAGCGTCTCTATATGCACCGCTCTGGAGCATAGGCAGGTAAACAACAATCCATATCGTTTTACCTCCTTTCTTCCTTCCTTCACAATAAAGGGACCAAAACAATCTATACCGCAGTAAGTAAACGGAGTGGATGTCTCGGTTCTGTCCTCTGGCAGATCGGCCATTTGTTGAGTCTCTGTGGTTCTTCTGTATTTCCTACATTTTACACACTTGTAGATGTGTGATGAAACTACATTTCCACATCCCAGGATCCATATTCCATTCGCACGTACCTCATTCATTGTCATGCCTCTTCCTTGGTGATGTACACGCTCATGATGATGTTTGACGAGCAAGGCGGACACATGAGCTTTCTTCGGAAGTATTGCAGGATGTTTTATGTCATGATGTAAGGCTGATTGAGATAGCCGTCCTCCCACCCTAAGAACATTGTTCTTGTCCAGGAAGGCATTCAACAGGTGTAGCTTGTTGTGCTTGTTCAAGGTGCTTCCCTTTTGAAGCTGAACTGTTTTAATTTCTTCGGTGAAGGCCTCTTCTTGCACCAGCTTGATAATAAAGATTTCTGCTTCTCTTCTTTCTGCAAGGTTAGTTGCTTCATTAGTTCTTGGCTGAAGTCTCCTGGATTCTCTGACAAATCTCTTGAGTCTTGCGACAGCTCTCACTGTCCTGGACCAGTCAGAAAACTTAGAGAAGCGGTTCAACAGTGAATTTTCTTCCTTAGTTTTGACTGTGTGAACATGAACTTTGCGAAGTTCAGGATCGTCTGTTTCCACTGCTCTCACCTTCTCTTCACATGGAAGGTTCAGCTGGAAAAGAAAGTCAGGTCCTTTTAGCCAGTTAGACTCTTTGAGCTGAACTGCGCTCAGCCCCCTTGAGGCGTAGTCGGCTGGGTTATTTTCAGAGCTAACATGTCGCCATTGTTCAGGGTTGGTGCTAGATCTTATGCGCTGGATACGGTTGGCAACAAACGTGTGGAAACTCTTGGCATCGTTGTTCAAGTAACCAAGGACTACCTTTGAGTCAGTCCAGTAATATTCTTGCAGGTTTTCAATCTCCAGCTCGCGTTTGATGACATCACCATTGCGTACTGAAGTCACAGCTGACGACAACTCAAAGTGTACTTCTCTCTTCAGCTGAATTGCTGGCTGGACAGCAGGTGTTACTTGTCGCACTACGATTCTGTGACTAGTTCCTATTGTGTCACAGTAATCCTTTGCTGGATTCGAGCAACCGACGATACTCCAGCCAAGATCCGTCCGCTGTGCATATGGATAATTGTCTTTACCGGATAGGATCTCTCTTGGAAGAAGGGCTTGCTGACAGTTATATCCGATTAAAAGACCTACTTCGCAATCCAATGGTGGTGGAATCTTGTCTGCCAACTGTTCCAAATGTGGCCATTTTAGAGCTGTCTCTGAGGTAGGAATGTGTGACCTGTCAACTGGAATGAACTCTCTTGTGAAAAGAGGTGGCAAAGGAATCATTTTTTCCAGGTCGTATCCCCTCACTTGAAGTTCTGTCAGTTTCTGACAGGGTATGACTGTTGACTTTGTTGACATTGTAGATAGCCGCAAACGAACATTTTCTTTGTTTGTGTCAAGATTTTGGGCCACTTCATCTAGAATGAAAGTCGTGTCACTCTGTGTGTCCAAGAGTGCGTAGACAAGAACTTCTTGTTCTGGCTGTTTTGTGGATGAGACCCAGACTGGTATGATTGCGGACGTTTGTGTGCTTGGGCCTTCTTGTATGACTCTGTTGGTGGTTGCAGCGATTTCTTTGGTGTCTGTTTTGTCCTTTGAGATGTCGTCTCCATTAAAGGTTGTTGACATTTTGCCTTTGAACTTGTCGTCATGCAAACACGTTGGATGTCTCCTCTGACACTTTTCACATGTGCTTTTGTCATTGCACGCCTTTGACTGATGACCAGTATTCAAACATCCAAAGCATAGCCTTTCTGCATACACAAACTTGATGCGATCTTCAACTGTCTTTTCTACAAACTTTCTACACTTTGGGAGGACGTGTCCTGTTCCTTTGCAGAAGATGCATGTTGGGATGCTACTTTGTGTTGTGTTTGTGGACAGTGTCTTTGCTTGAATAGTTTGGCTTATTGGATTCTTTGTTTTTTCACTTTCGACACTCCTGATAGCTTGTATCGAGGATATGGGATCACATGCGAGATCTGCTTCCTTTGATATGAAATCTACAAACACTTTGAATGGTGGGTAACCACCATTTGCATGTCTGGCCTCCATTGCTTTTCGGTTCCAGCCGGATACCAACCAATCTGGCAGTTTCATCAATATTTGTTGACTCTCGTTGCAGTCATTCAGTACTTCTAATGTCTTAATGTGGGGCATTGCAGCCTCACAGCTCTTAAGGAAGTCTGCAAATTCTCTTAGTTCGCTGCCATCTTTAGAGCTTATCTTTGGCCATCCATGTAGCTTGTCTCTGAAGGACTTCCCAATAATAAATGGGTCTCCAAAACATTTTTCTAACAGCTGCCAGGCAGAGTCATATGCTGCTTCGGTGCCTAACAGGAAGAATCCTTCTACTGCTTTCTTTACAGCACCTCCTATGTACTTTCTAAGGTAATACAGTTTTTCATTCTTTGGAATGTTTTTCCTGTCTATTAAAGTTTCAAAGGATAGTTGCCAGTCTTTGAATTTCAAAGGATCTCCTGTGAATAATGCAGGCTCTGGTGTTGGAAGGTGATTTGCACTTATTGCTTCTGCTAGTATTTTAACCAAGTCAGCACTATTCTGCATCTGAGCTAAGGGCATTGAGGTTGGTAGAGCTTGTGGTACTTGCTGTGGACTGTGGAGACTATAAGCTTGACTTGCAGGTTGTAGAGGTTGAGGTATGAACGGAGGACTTGAAGCATTGATGACTTGTGCTGTTACTGGCTGAGACTGATAAACGAATGGTGGAGTTGTGGAGTACAGAGCTTGGGTTTCTCTAGCTGGTTCAACATCATACAGTGAGTCGATTGCTTCATAATTTTCTTCCATTCGATTGTACACCTTGACTCGAGCTCTTGCGGCTTTCAGCTTTTTAACCTCTTCTAGGCGTTCAAGCTTACTGCGCTTTTCTTGCATTGCCTGAAGTCTGGCTTGCCTTTCGAACTCAAATTGTGCCATCTGTTTTTTATCTTCAGTCTCCAGCCTTTGAAGTTCTGTTGCTTCCTTTTCTTGTTCACCTAAAACTGCTAGGACTTCCTGAGATGCAGCGGCTTCAGCTGCAGCTTCAAATCTTTTGAGAAGACTAGAATGAGCGGAGCTACACTTTGATCGACAAGACAGTGGAGATAATGAAGAGTCAGTTGAGTTTAGAACAGATCCAACATCGGGCCAAGATTCTTCCTTTAAGTCTGCTGTATTCTCTTCAAGCTGTCTCTCTGCCTTTCGAATAATGAATCCTGAGAGTGATATGCATGTATCAACTCTGCGTCGCAGGTTCGGTTCAGGAGTATGTATGAGACGTAACTCTTCATACAAGGCTTTTACATCTGAGCAAGAGCTTTTTATATTTGCAATAAGCTCTCTCAATTCATCCTTGGAGGCGTCATCATTCAGTATTTCTTTGCCTATTCTCACATGGTACCTCCATTTCTCATAGACGATTCTGTAGTGACGTTGTACACTTTTCAACTTTTCAGCTTGGAGTTCTTTTCCTTTTTCTGTTAGTGTTCGATTTCTTTCACTTCTTCGTAGCTCTTCCACTTCTTCTGCCAACTCTGTTTCTGTTGTTTCAAGTTGAGCAGATGATTTGGCATTTTTGTGGCAGGTCCCTGCTTCTGACATTTTGAGATGACTTAATAACTTATAACCGACTGTAATAGAGCATGTGTAACTACTAAGCTTGAATTGGATCTCTGAATGTATACATAAGTAATCAGTGAGGTTATCAAATGTATGCACTCATTAACAAGTTTAACTTGACCTCAGCTTTACAACAAAATAACAATAACAAGAATAAGAATAAGATTTAGCTTGTTACTAATAAACCTTAAATGTAGTGAAATATGCTTAGAAAGGCATTACATCACTTGTACTTTACAAAGAAAATGTTTTTGTCAGTGGAATGACCCTTTAAAGCTCAAGTAAATTGTCCTTTAAGTGTAATACCTTTCATAAAATGTGAAAACGTTCTTCTTTTTTAACTTGAACTTATAAATAATATATTCTTTCTTTAATATTAACTTATAATTTCTTTACTTTCTTATATGATTAATTGTCGTCTTTAAACCCTTTGACATGTACCATTCATGAACACCAACACATTAGCTTCATCACCAGCATAGGCTTAGCATAGATGATAGACCTGAGTCCTTATTTGCAATTTCCAGATTAACCACTTCTCACACCACCTTTAACTTGAAGGATGTGGTAGAGCACTTCCTGACTTTATCCTGAAATGTTGCGACTTTCACACAGTCTAATCACCGTAGCTTGCGGTCGTCATGCCGACAGTGCACCGCTGGCGTTGCTTCTCTGATGTGCTGGATGGTCCTTGAACGCAGCGTCGTCTCTCGCTCCAGTCTCGTTGTCTTTCCCACCCGCGCTGAGCAGGCGAGTTCTCACTGTAGCTCTTTTCACGACACAGACACAGGTCGGTTCTTTAAAACGGGCGTTTATTTCTTGGGAGTTTTCATCCTGTAGCCTTCCCTCTTCCGTTACGCCGTGAGAACTACAACACCGAAATGACACGCATACATAGCCAAACACATTAGCATATTGTGCTACACATATGAATGAAAACAAGAAAATGAAAACACAAAACAAATACCTCGTTGGCCGCTTGTCGTGAAAGGAGATTAATTTAGTTCCTTTTCTGCATAACTTCGTCACAGACCTCCCGTCACACTAAACTTTATCACAGACCTCAGCAGAGCTTCAAAAAGACGTCAACCCACATGGAGTTGTACAGTGTAACAGCAAAACACGCAGTACCAGCACATGAACAAACATTAGTTCCTAGGCACAAGAAACACATACGCATATCGGCCCAAGATGTAAAACAAACTGTATTAAATCATGCCATATTTAACGATTATAAATAACATGAAATAAAGTATTCATTTATCCAATTGAACTATGACATTAACCGTGTTACTCCTTTTAATTAAGGCAACTTCGTTACGTCATTTACAATGACAGTGCCGGCTGCATCTCCATCTGTGCATTTTTCTGATCGTGTTGCTTCAGATCTGCAGCAGAGGAACAAACCGCCAGCAGTGTGAGGATGCGACCCGCTGACAAAGCAAGCTCTTTGATGAGGGAGGGGCGGCAATGACAGAATCCATGTTTGCTTCATCATGGAGGCAAACTCAGTCAGCTTTCAGAGGAGGAAAGAATCCACATGAGGCACATAGAGAGAGCAGGGCTGTGTTCTATGGCTTGTCTGGGTCAGTGGACATTATCAGGTTATTATCACTTTCTGGTAAACTCAGACCAAAATCTGATGTTAGGTTCTCGGACGAGATGGTTTTCCCAGCTCACACATAATTTAACATTTTCCACATACACCATTTCAGTAAAAGCTGAGGCAGCTAACCCCTCTTTATGGATCCCTTACCTGGTGCATTATGCCGCAGGTGACTGAACATAGAAGCAATTTTCATTACAGAAGGATAGAAGGGTTTTCTGTAATGTAGAGGTTAGCCCAGGCATGGGCAAACTAAGGCCCGCGGGCCATATACGTTGGGCTTTTGAATCCGGCCCGCCGAATATTGGTACAACATTTTCCAAATTATAGTAAAGACCGCATTAATTTTGCCTTTATCCTGCAATACCCGGCATTTCAGTTGATCCCACTAGATGGCGCACTCTAGACACAATTTACCTTTGCTGGAGTCTGGTCTATTCTCTCAGCTGGCCCCACTCGGCAACCCGGCAAGATCGGCGAATACAAGTTGTAACAAGCAGTAGCGCTGAGAAAAGTGACTAGAACGCGACCACACACTTATGCCTATATAAAGTCAGGCAACACTAACCAGGCTTAGTGTGATTCTGTTTATTTTACCTTACTTTAATGACCATCCGTTCACTGTTATTGACCATTGTGAAGACGCAGATGTTTTCCTTTTGTTTTGTATTATTGCAACTATCGGATGGAATCAATACATGGGCTACATGTGGCCATCACAAGTAAAATCATAACGAAAACTACGCCAGTAAAATATGCGTGTAGAAAACGTCTTATGCCACAATATGATAGCAACAAGTAAGATAGTCTGATTAGCTAACATCACCTGTAGAATGCCAGAGAAACTTTCATAACAGCGTTGTGATGCCAAACAGCTTTCAGACTAAAACACATTCACTTATGGGGATGGGGGATATTTATCAGCTGCTTGTGTGACGGTCAGACAGTGAAAACTTTACAGCGGCCGCTGCCGCGAGTTAACGGGAGAATAAACTCCGGTAGACGAGCAGCACTGCAGCGGGCGGTAATGCAGCTGAACCACATTAATAAACAATACACTACGGCACTCTGGAGAAAGGTACAAGGTTGGAGAAGTAGTTCTTTAATATAATCTGGCTTCGTATAATTAAAAACCACCCGACGCAGTCCTCTATTGATGTTGTTGTGAGCGGTGTTGCGGAGAAAATCAGCGACGTAAAACGCTGTGTGGGTCATAAGAAGGCACGTAAACGGTTACGTCATGACGCAAACGATGACGCAATGACGCAATAATTCACCTTTGAACATAATTCACCTTTGAACCTGCATCTGTAACAATGAGTGGACCAAAGAAAAGTCAACATTGAGTGCCGAGTGTATAATGAGGAGTGGACAGCTAAATATTTTTTTACCGATCTGCTACTGGCCCGGTCCGTCTGTCAAATTTAAAACTCACAGTGGCCCCCGAGCCAAAAAGTTTGCCCACCCCTGGGTTAGCCAGTCATTCTTATTGATGCTACTCATGAGAACTCAGGTGCAGAAGTAGCATGATGAACAAAATGTAATCTAGTGCTCTTTATTTAATTTGATGCAACCACGCACTTCATTCCTAACCACCCATCAGGCTTTGTGGAAGCACTCCTGGGTACTACTCAGTGCAAATGTAGTGTGGTTGAAACACAAAGCAGTTACATCTCTGGAGAAAATGAATCCCTAGCAGGAAATAAATGATATTGTCTACAGCTACAGTGTCTCAGACAACAGGGGAGCCAGAGCTGTTTCTGAAAAGGAAAGAGTAGTTTTGTAATTTTAACAGCAAAACCAAATCTGGGTAGATAATACAAGATTTGTCAAAATAATTTTGCAGGCAGAGTGGAACTCCGAGAAGTCTTCGTTTTGAGACTGATTCAGGGTTTGATCACGTTGTTGTGTACGATGTTAAGATCGCTTTTGTCTGTTCAGCTTGTTATCTGAGTATTTTCTGTTCAGGGCCTCATTTACAAATGATTCTAAACTTAACATCTACAGTCAAATCCAAACTCTTCATCCCGTCACCATGTTCACAAATTGATAGAAGCACTGCTGTTTCAACCAATCAACAAGGATTCATTTATATAAGACCTGGAACATTAGTACCAACTTTATAGATAAAAACGTAAGATGAACAATGAACAACGCCCGGAAGTGGGGCGGGGCTTAATAAGTAGGGAGAGGTGTGACCTGTCACACCACCTGTCACTTTCTATGCATACTAATGAGACGAAAGTGGTATGTGTATAACTACTGCCATGACATGGGACCTTTAAAGATTAAGTTCCTCTCAGGTCCAAATACTTAAAACTGTTTCTCTTACAGAAAACCCCACACAATGGCTCAAGGTTATCAGCACAAGAGATGAACAACTAAGACAGTGAATTAATACACCAACAGCCAATTACCTTCCTCTTTTCTCTAGCAAACAGAGCACTGCCAGGGACAGATAAAAGGTTGTGTAATGGATTTCACTGAATGTCATGCTCATACCTTTAATAAAGAGCGTGTGACTTACACCGTGTAATTTGTCATGCTTTCTATCAGTGGTGCTGCCATGTTATAACTTATAACACTAGACATGCAAGTCTTTCATTAATAACACAGCAAGTCAAGGAAAGGATTATGTTTTAGCGGTGAGTAGATAAGTCCCAAGGTTGATGGTGGAGCACAGTGGCAAGAAAAATCCATTCCCTAATCAATCACTGTGTGTTCAGGGTGCCCCATACCTCTGCTCTCTTCCCAGCAAGCATGGGAAAAGCAGAGGACTCCATCTTTCGCACACCATCTGCCATCAGTCTCACACTCCTCGCGTTATCTCAACCTCTGTCTTTCATGCTGGTTCTCTCTCTTCTCCAATAGATCTGGCCCTTCTCCTCAGTGTGACAGCAGCCATCCATTCTGTGAGCTTCTGCTTCATTTGCATGATAGAGAAGGAGGGGAGTAAACACACACACACAGACACACACACACACACACACACACACACACACGCACACACACACACACACACACACACACACACACACACACACACACACACACACACACACACACACACACACACACACACACACACACACACAGAGGAGTAAATACATATCCAGGACATAGTTTTAGTGACGGGCAATTGCTTTTAATTTGGGCCATACCTTCTAATAAAGCCGCTCTTAATAACATTTCCTCAGCTGTATCAAAGCTTGTTTGTTTAAGTGCTTTAATTTGAGGGCAGACTCAGAGAGAAGATCTGGATTGCATTTTAACAGCGCAATAGTCAATGTTGTTCTTTTACAGAGGCATCACCTTCCTATTTATAACAGCGTAGCCAGATGTTCATCCCCTTGTCATTCAGCAATCACATGCTGCTCCTCACTCACCACCTGCAATCAGCCAAGTTATTGGAGGACATTTGATATATATATATGGCAACTCAAACTAAGAGCAGTACATTATGAGAGTGGGAAGGCTGAAGAGCGGGAGGTCAATGATTTATTTACAGGTCCAAATGCTCCGTTCTTGTTTCCCCTTTCATGTAAGTTTCAGTGGGTGTTTTTCAATGTCGAGGAAGGCTCCTACACTATTTCAAGGATACTACGTCATGGAGTCCCGCCGAAGGACTGTTCCAGTGTCCAGGATCCTTGGAATTCTACCGGCCGGCGTCCTTCGTTGCGGGACATTTCGAGGCTGGACATGTGTATCCTCCGCGGTCTTAAAATCCTCACAATGCTTTGCGCACGGACCAATCTCCAAAATCTTTGGCGGAAATCGCGCTCCATTTAAGGCGGGGCCTCGCATATGACGCACACCTGTTAGCCTATTCCACCATTCTTAGTTTTCCGAGGCTAGGAAGGATTCTTGCCTCGCTTCTGAAGGACCTGACTCGGAAGACATGTCCTACCAAGGAAGCGTCCTCGACATTGAGAAACACCCAGTCTTTGTTGCATCCTAACTCTCTCCCATTCTCTCTCTCATATTTATATTGTCTTCTGTCAAATAAAGGAAAAAATGCTGAATAATGGTCAGTAAATATAACAATAAAAATAGTAAACTGAGTTTGCCAAGATTTTCCTTTGCTCTCAGCTAACTGTTAACGTCAAAACGGTTACATGCTCTCAAAGACAATGCTAATATGCTGATGTTTAACAGGTATGTCTACCATGTTCTCCATCTCAATTTCAGCCCCTTTAGGTTGGTATAATTCATCTCTCAAGGGTCAGGTGATAACCAAAAGCCAGGTTTCCATTAGGTCTGTGGAATATACTGTATTGTTTAATCATTGACATTTGATAAAGAGACTGTTTATATCTGCTGCTATTTTTCATCTCTTCAGCAGAGCAGCTCATAATACATGTATTTATCTAAATAAGTTTACATTGCATTTAAGCACACTTTGGTCTCAAGATTAGTTTGAATTTAATTTTAAATGTATTCCACACTCTATAAAACAATCTGCTATTGGTATAGCCTGCAGCATATGTATGTATGTGTGTATGTATACAGTAGATTTGTATGAGTATAGATATTTGCTGCATGTATGTATATCAGCGACGTGCAGTCAGGGGAGGCAGAGCCTCACCTGTCATACTCCAATGTAACAGAAAAACAACTAATGAAAAACGAAATAGTAATAATAATAAAATGTCTCCACTGATCTGTGTTGTAAGTGTGATTTCTGTATGATTCCAATCGCTTTTTATAGTCAAAATCAGCAA